CCCCAAAACCCCAAAACCCCAAAACCCCAAAACCCCGTCATATCTATTTTCAATTGAAACAGCAAGTAAATTGATTTATTTCTTCTCATTAGGCTCAAAGATCTTCTTGAGACTGGCTCAGACGTTCTGGTACTTTTTCCACTGGATTAAGCAGTTATAGATCATTTTTGCACTCCTTTGATCCATGGTCTTAAGCTTTGTTCTTACTCTTTGTTCTAGGAGGGAGATTGATTTCTCAATTCCGAAGTTAGGATGAGCAAGCTGGCCTAAGCTCTTGTTGTTGAAATGATAAGCGAATGTTTTAGACAACCCCCAGATGAGCAAAGACAAGTCCTGGTTGTTGAGCTTATTTATATTCGGCCTGATATGTTTAAAAAGTTTGGCATAAGTGTCTATCTCATTGTACATCTTTATCTTCACCATGGTGTAAAACAGTTCAGTGACAGCACGAGGTGTCACAAGAGGCCAGTTGGCTCTAATTCCAGCTATTTGAATCAGATTTGAGACTTACAAAACTCGAGATATTTATGAACCAGCTTTAGGACGAGTTCTTTCTGGTATTCTTTCTCTAACTTCTTGTTTTTACCAATATTATAAATAATAATCTTCAGTGATAGGAGATCATCTGGAGTGAACTCGTTCATTTCAAGATGTTTCTCGAAGTTATTTTAAGATCCCACCAATTTTGTTCATCTTCAGCACTGAAACTTTTGCGTTGAGAATGTTACAGAAAGAATGAAGATCGAATATGTATTTTGGATCACTATTTTTAGGGTAAAGAGGCTTACTTGAAGTATTCAAGATAATCTGATGCTATTCTCTCAATTTTGAAGTAGATCGGATTACCTTTGTGGACCTTGAGCTGGGCCAAGCTCCAGTAAAGGTTGGCTATAGTCCTAGGATTGATGTCTTGATACATGTTTTCGAAGGTATAAGGGCTCTCTTCGGGAGTGCCATCAGTTAAAGTGTCTAACTTGTGCTTCATTTCCTCATCCTCATCGTTGATCTTTTGGAGCTATTCATTAATTTATAAAGATACCCTCCAAATATTGCTACAATGGTTACAAATAGAGTCTGTCGCATGGATAAGAGTATTGACATATGCTTGATGTGTGTACCCAGTTCTAGCCATGGCCCAAGCAAGCATCGAAACTTGATGTGGAGCCAGCATTGAGATATCATCTGCAAATATGCTCTGAATGCATTTATCAATCATTCTATTCATCGGGAATCTATTCATTTATGAGAACTGTTACCTCATCTTGACTGTGGACCAGAGGATGATGACTCTCTGCTCTTGAGGAAAAGTGTCTAGGTTGTCATAGAGAAGTTTTGAAATCTGCCTCATCTTTGGGTTGCTGAAAAACTTATCTTCCCTCCCTCTCATTTTGTATTGATCGTTTCTGCCTTTGACTAGATTGGGCTTGATGAGCATTGCGAGTTTGTAGTAAGCAGCAACAGCCAAATTTGGTGTCAAAGAGAACATATGAGTGTCACAAGTATTTAAAACCTGCTGATAAGTATGAGCTTTGCTAAGCTTTGAGGCTAACTCTTTCTCTAAGAGATATATTTTCTCGGTTTCAGAGAAATTTAAGTTATTTTAGCTTGTAATCCACCTGGATTTGCTTGCCAGACTCATCGTTGGCTATCATACTTGTAGTTTTACGTTCGATATCTAGATATTAAATCAGAAGATTTGTGAGAGTTACCTTGGAAAGTTCTTTCATCATCTTTTACGATCTCTTTATATTGTGTACGCTCCTTAATTGCCTCTGTGATGAACTTTGGATCAAAGAGGGTCTCTAGCTCATTTTGAGTAAGCACGTTGTTCTTGACCATTCTATGGGAGCCGAGTAGGGGTTTGGTCCTTCTGGCAAAGGCCATCTTAGTGAAAATGTTGAAAGGGCTTATTGTGCGGCTGAAAAATAACTTATTTAACATATTTTTATAATTTCTATTTATTTTTGAGTGATAGGGGTTTTGGGGTTTTGGGGTTTTGGGGTTTTGGGG